TAAACCCACTCATCTACATCTGGAGTATTGTGTTCAGTTCAGTGTTCATGATTTAAGAATAAGAGTTGCCTCACTCTTATACTCATCTTCTGTTACCTGGTCTTGCTTCCATCTTACATTTTTTTAAATGTAAGCTGATTGGTGAATTTTAAAATCCCGTTTTCTCCCTCAAAGGACTTGTTTACCATTGTATCTTCAGAATGTCATTTTTGAGTATCTCCCATTTCTCCTGGATTAAGGTCCCCTAAAGCATTTTACTCCATGGTATCCTAGCTGTCTTTCCTCCAAACCTACTGAAATCTGCTTTCTTAAAATCTAGGTTGTATGTTAGACTCCACACATATTTCCTTGCATTTATCATAAGCTCTAGGATGGCATGGTCACTTCCCTTCAAGGTTCCCATCATTTCCACTCTAGCAACCTGAGACAATATTTATAAAGCACTTAGCACAGTACTGGCACATAGTAGGTGCTATACAAATGCTTGTTCCCTTCCCCCTCTCTATTAGTGACAATCAGATCCAGACTAGAATTTTCCCTTGTTGATCTCTTCACTTTTTGAAAGATGAAATTATTCAAAAAAGCAAGTCAAGAAGTTACTAACTCCTATCCTTTTGGCACAGAGAGAGAGTTCCAGTAGATGCCATTGGCAAAGTTTCAGTTTTTATTGGAGTTTTTAGGTTAAAGGAAATTTTATTAAATGATATTCTTTTTTTTTGGCTTGGCAATTGGGTTAAGTGACTTGCCCAGGGTCACACAGCTAGTAAGTGTTATGTGTCTGAGGCCGGATTTCAACTCAGGTCCTCCTGACTCCAAGGCCGGTGCTCTATCCATTGTGCCACCTAACTGCCCTAAGTGATATTCTTTTGAAAAATATTTTGAATATAAATAAATGGTCTATACATTGAATATTATGACATAATTTTATTAATGATTGAAACTCAACTGTAGTGTAAAATAAAACAGAAAATGCACCTCCCTCCCCCCTCCACACACACTATGATTAAGGCCCAATAACTGTAAAGTTTTGAAGTCCCTACCACTGGGCAAGCCAAGCTAAAACAATGGTTATGGTTTCTATTTTAGTAGGATAGGAAAAAATACTGTCCATCCCAAGTATCACACTGACGGGCATCAATCCTTTGGCCCAGGTGATCCTCAGCATCAAAGAAAAGGAATACAAGGAGGGCCCGTGTTCACCTCCCATGTTGTAAAACAATTATAGGCCAACAGCATTTGTGGTACCCAAAGGGCTCCTGCAATTCCACTAATTTGTAGTAGGAAATTTCTCACCTTTTGTGCTGTGCAAAATGTCAGCACCACCTGAGTGAAAGCAAAAGGTTTCTTTGTCACAGTTTTCCCAGAAGGGAGTGGGGGTGAGAGGACCTCACATATGGAATGTCATCAGCTGTCACTGTAATGAAACAGAAAGACTTTTCTGTGGTACATGTGGAATGTGACTTGGAAATGCTACTGTCCTGTTAATTAGAATATCATTTTAAGTCCAGAAAAGCTTATTTTATGACTGTAAAATTGCATTTTCTCATGAAGAACATTTACACCCACATTGAGGATAAATGAGTGCCTCGCAGATGTGTGGGAAGAGCAGGGCCAGTGACATGTCTGTGACTGGTTATCCTGTTACTATTCTCCTGTCTAAGCAGCATGGTATAGTGAGGAGAGGATTTATTGGCTTTGGAATCAGAAGACTTAGGTTTGGGGCAACTAGATGGATAAGGTATGGGGTTTGGAGTTAGAAAAACCTGCCTCAAATCCTGCCTCAGTCACTTACTAGCGGTGTGACCCTGGGAGATTTATTTAATCTCTCTGCCTCAGTTTTCCTATCTGTAAAATGTAGACAATGATTGCACCTACTTCATAGGGTGGTGGTAAGGATGAAATGAGACAACAGTAAAGCACTCTGCAAACCTTAGTAGTGCTTTGTGGATGCTAGCTAGTTTTATTATGATTTTCCTTTCTTGAATCCCAACTCTGACACCAACTAGTTGTGGAACTGAGGGCAAGTCATTTATCTTCCAATGGTTTAATTACTTCACCTGAAAAAAAAATATAATATTCATACTGGAGCAGCTAGGTATTGCCAGGCCTGGAGTCAGGAAAACTCATCTTTCTGAGTTCAAATCTGGCCTCAGACACTTACTAGCTAGGTGACCCTGCATAAGTCACTTAACCCTATTTGCCTCAGTTTCCTCATCTATAAAATGAGCTAGAGAAGGAAATGTCAAACAGCTCCAATATCTGTACCAAAAAAAAAATCTCAAATGGGATCACAAAGAGTCAGACAAGATTGAAAACTACTGACTGAATATTCTCACTTTCTACCTAATAGTATTGTTGCAAGGAAAGTACCATGTAACCTTAAACCCCATTATAAGTGAGTTACTATTAACAATAGTATGTTGTGCAGAAATATATGCACAGGTGACTTAATTTAAATTCACACCCCTCCCCAACTAAAATTTCAAAATAGACTTTTTTCTTAATGACTTACAGAAATAATTATACCCACAGCAAAGAAGGGTCACTTTTGTTTGGTGGGACACCGCGCCTCCCCAGCACTGGAAGTATCTCTTTGGCAAAATGAGGCCTACTGGAACAAAAGCCATCCCATATATACTTTCCATGAGTAAAAACATCTCTGCTGAGCTTTCTCTCTTTATGGCAAATGTGAACTTGGATTATGATCTGCTGATTCTCATTTGATACTCCAATAAGGTTATATTTCAATTTCTACTGATTTATCTTGAATAACTAAAACTACTTAATCTTTGGATTGCACTGCTAAAGTTTCTTAGTCATTACAGATGTTTTCATTGATAGCTCAAGGATAGGATACAAAATATTACTGAAAATAGAAGTGAGAGCCAGACAGTAGAGAGCTTTAAATGCTAGGCTGATGCACTAGAGGCAATAGGGAGTCTTTAAAGAATGGATTATAAATTCCTCTCCACTATGTTATCAGGATCTCAGCTCACTGAAATTGGAAAGAACCAAATGAATATTGGTAAAAATATATTTTGGGAAATATGAAAGTGGAGAAGTTAGGAAAACCAGCATGTTGAAGTAAACTTTCTTTTGTATATCTCTTAAACACTTTTATGTTTTATTTTGATTATATTTATGAGCAGGTCTTATCTTTCTGACTAGATTATACAATCAGAGAGTACAGAGTTCATCAAGTCCCGCCACCCCATGATTTTACAAATGAGGAAACTGAGGCCAGAGATGTTAAATGAATTATCCAGTGTCACATAGCTAATAGCAAGAAAGATTGAAGGTTTTAATCATGAATAGCTAGGTGAATGATGGTGCCACTAAAAGAAATAATGAAGTCAGAAGGAGGAGCAGAATCAAAAGACTTATTAACTGGACTTACTATCTTTCCTTAGGTTGAAGTCAATTGAATTAATATCTATTGAATAGATTTAATACATGTTTGTTGAATTCAAGGAAAAACAATATCCAGTTTAAAACCCCAGACCTAAAGGATTATTGTATAGTCATTTTTCAGTCACGTCCAACTCTTTGTGACCCCATTTGGGGTTTTCTTGGCAAAGATACTGGAGTGGTTTGCCATTTCCTTCTTTGGCTTATTTTATAGATGAGGAAACTGAAGCAAACAGGGTTAAGAGACTTGTCCAGGATCACACATCTAGTAAATGTTCAAGGCCAGATTTGAACTCAGGTTATCTTGACTCCAGGCCTGGCATTCTATCCACTGTACCTCGTGGCTGCCCTCGACCTGATGGGTAGTAGTTAATTTAATCTTGTCCAGTTTAGCCCCCCTCCCACCAAATGCTCATTGAGCAGAAAACAATCACAGATAGAAAACAAATATTCATCAATCAGGCAAGCTCTACAGCTCTACTCTACAAAAGAAAAGGGAGCTCTGTGCCCCAAAAATGAAATGAAATATCAGCTTGACTGAAGAAAGAAAGATCTCACCTGAGAAATCCAACCTTCACAGGGCCCTGGGAATCAAGGGACATTTTAGGGTATGGGTTCCTCCCCATATGACTGCTACTCTGAGGATCTTCCTTTTACCATTCCAAGTCCATGCCTTCTCTCTCCTTGTCCCATCTCTCCCAGAAATATCTCAGCCGATCAAGAGTCATATCTCCCTTCCTGTATGTAGTCCCAAGAACTTGGAGAAGGCCAAGCCTACCTGAGGGTGGGGAGCCAAATTAGGAAGAACATTGATAAACCAGAAAGGACCCAGAGGAGACAACCAGGAGAATGAAAAGCCTTGAGTTTCTGCCATATGAAGAATCAGCTAAACGTATTAGGGAGGTTTAACACCCCTCCAAAGAAGAGTCTTGGGAGGAAGGTTAATAAAGTCACTGTCTTCAATTATTTATTTAAAAAATTCTCACCTGGGAAAGGGTTTAGGCTAGTTCTATTGCATATACACATATATGGGTATTATGTATATGCATATATATCACATATACATCATCTCCACCCAAAAAAATATGAGCTCCTTGTGAACAGGAACTGTTCCATTTTCATCTTACCCCAGAACCTTGCCCACAGTAGGTCCTTAATAAATGTTTGTTGATGGATTGTTCCACTTAGCCCAAGGGGGCAGAACTAGAAACAGTGGATGGATGTCTCAGAAGAGCAAATAGAGACAATTTCAGGTATAAAGTTTTCCTCATCATTTGAGCTCTTCCAAAGTGCAATGGGCTGTCTCCAGAGGCTCCCCCTCACTAGAGGTCAGCCACTGTATAACTGATATTGTAGCTACAGTAGCAATATTGTAGTAGGGATTATTATTCAGGGACAGGTTGGATTAGCTGGTAGCTGAGGTCGCTTCCAACTTGGAGATTCTTTGAAACATTTTCAAGCCTGTGTAAGATTACCTTGTCTATGCTAGTAATGATTGGGGCTAGTTCAATGTTAGGTTTATTTTTTTTATAGCAGAAGCATTTCTGCTCCAATTCTGAATGTATTGTGACTTGCTTTTACTATTTTTGCAGGTGGGAGTCCTTAGTGCTAGTGCTAATGTACATTATCTACATCATTATTATGAAGTAAGTAATACATACTCTTCCCCTGGTTTCTTTCTCAAAGCTCTTTCTAGATTCCATGCATTGTGGCACTCTGGGGAAATTACTTGGGGCGGTGGGGGGGGAGGGACACAGAGCAGGATTTCACTGCAAATGTTAATAAAACTTCTCCAGAGCATTAACAATAACAAGTCTCCTTCTAACTCTTCCAGTTTTTCCATTCGAAAGAAGGGAGCATCTTCTTGATCCTGATAATCTTATTCTTCTTTTTTATCAACAAAAAAGATAAAATCTTCCTTCCACATGGATAATTACTGTCATGTATGTTTGGGACAGGGGGGTCAGTGCTAGTTTCACTTTTTTGCAAATTTTTGAAGATATAAAATGTTTGACTAGTAATTAGCAGGAGAGGTTGACAAGGTAGCTAGTGTTTTATTCTGGATCATTGACATTTAGAGGGTACTGAAAGCTTTGGTTTGACTTTCCAAAAAGTCTTTCCTTCAGAGAATGCCGATCAATAAAGGGATTCCTCAACAAGTAATTACTGGGCAATGGTTGTGCACCCAGTACTGCTAAGGCACCATGCACATCATAGCTAGCCACCATGAGTCACTGTGACCTGATGGAAGTGCTAGTGTTGGAGCCAAACGACCTTGGTTTTTTGCATGAGATGATTGCTAGCTTTGCGACCCTGGGCAACTCACTTAATGTCTCAGCGCCTATTTTCCTCATCTGTAAAATGGGAATACTAATGCTTGCCCTACCAGCCTCATGGGATTATAATGCCCTGTAATGTGAATTATAATGATAATAGCTCGTATTTAAGATTTTCAGAGCTCTTTATATACATTATCTCATTTTATCCTCACAACAATTCTGTGTTGGGGAGCTGAATGGAGCCAAGTCAGAAAAGAGCTCATATGGGGTATGGTCACCAAAGGAAGGAATTATGCCATCTAATAGCTTCCCATTTCATTTACATATATATGTGTGTGTGTGTGTGTGTGTATATATATATATATATATATATATATATATAAAATTTACTTTAGGTAGGTGCTATCATTATCCACATTTTACAGATAAGACAACTGAGGGTAAGAGAGGTTAAGTAACTTGCCCACAGTTGCAAAGCTAGTAAGTGTCTGAGGCAGGATTTGAACTCAAGTCTTCCTGACTCCAAGTCTAACTCACTATTCATTGTGCCATCTAGCTACCTATCCGTTAATAGCCTTATTTCTATTAAACAATGCATTGGTGGTATCTCTTGGTTTAGTACTAACAAATATTCAAATTAATCTGTTATATTGGGAGCTCCCTCAAAATAATGTAGATCATAACTCAGTCATTCCAGCCTATCCTTCCTGACTTTTGTCCATGTCCTCCCCTAAGTTCACCCCACTTGATATGAGGCCTCTATCACTTTCTTCTTCCCAGCCATGCAATGAGGCTTCCCACCTGTCATCACTTGTTCTCATCATGTGACCAGTCTATATTTCTCCTCCTACCACAGAAATCCTATCAAAGGAATTTTGGAAAATAGAAGTAAAAGATGCCATCAAGGAAATGTATGATAAGAGTAGAAGATATGATAGGTTCGGTACTCACTTTAGATAAAAGTTAAATATCTTTACCCCAAAGAAACAGGGGCTCCCACTCAGCATGGGTTTTATTGCTTTCCTTAGGGTTAGTAAGTTCAAGTGTAAAGGGGATAAGAGGGAAATTGCTAAACTGACCATCTCATCTCTTGTTGTTGTTTAATCATGTCCAACTTGTCATGACTGCATGGACCACAGCACGCCAGGCCTTCTATCTCTACTATCTCTCAAGGCTGTCCAAGTTCACATTCACTGTTTCCATGACACTATCCATCCATCTCATCCTCTGCTGTTCCATTCTTCTTTTGCCTGCAATTTTTCCCAACATCAGGGTCTTTTCCAGTGAGTCCTGTCTTCTCATTATGTGGCCACTCTCATCCCTACCTCCAGCCATTACAGTTCCCCATGATCAGTGGATAGAAGGAACATATGCAAATGAACATAATACAGTGAGCAACTAATCTCCTCCATTACTGAACATATGCAACATGAAAACCATTGGTGTGTATATCTCTGCTGACCTCTCCAATGTGACTTCCATTCTAGCTGTTGTAACTAGCAAGATCCAAATAAAATCAGGATTAAAGCTTCAATATGTATTTCTCTCTCTCTCTCTCTCTCTCTCTCTATCACACACACACACACACACACATTCACACACACACACATGCACACATTCCCTTTTACATTTTTTCATAAATTCCACTCTGGAGTTCTAAATTGGGCTAACTCTGCTGTTTTAGTTTCATCTCTGCAATTGAAGGCTTTAATCATTAGGACTGTTGTGTATGCTTTTTCCTGCAATTTATAAAATTGCATCTTTTCACAATTAAATGGCTTCGGGTGCACATACAAAATTTAAAACATTCAATTAAAAAACACAAAATAGAAACGCAGCAGTTAAAAACAGCCCATATTAGCACATTCGTGTCCTCCTGGGAAGACCAACTTAAGGATGAGTCTCAACATTCTGTCTGAAGGTTAAAAAACAAGCTCAGCTGGCCACAGAGGTAGGGGATTTTACAGCAATAGATTCATGCCCATTAAAGGAAGCATGCCAGAGAGTAAGGGGGGGGGGGGGCACTGTCAGAGGTCTCTTTATTACTCTGAACTTTTTTCACTTTCAGAACAGTCAGAGAAAAGGGGGGGAGGGTATGGGGAGAATAGCAAAGACCTGCTATGCACCAGAAATTCTATCAAATACTCTGGTAGCCCATGAATTTTTCAGGCCTGTTTTATTTATTGGAGGCTTTTGAACTATAAGGGAGTGGCAGCTAGGTGGCACAGTGGACAGAGTGTTGGGCCTCAAGTCAGGAAGACTCATCTTCCTGAGTTCAAATCTGACCTCAGACACTTATTAGCTGTGTGACCCTGGGCAAATCACTTAACCCGTTTGCCTTAGTGTGAATTGGAGAAGGAAATGGCAAACCACTCCAATATCTTTGCCAAGAAAACCCCAAACGGGGTCACAGAGAATCAGACATGACTAAAACAACTGAACAACAACAATAATTTAAACCATAAAGGAAGGATCACAGAATAATAGGATTTAAAGCTGGAAGAGATACTACAGATCAACCTCAACATAGTTCAACTAAGTTTTACAGAGGAAACTTGGACCTAGAGGTTAAGTGACTTACCCAAAGTCATACAAATCATAGATATCAAAGCCAAGATTTAAATCTTGAGCATCTGGCTTCAGATGCTTAATGCTTTGACAGACTGCCTAAAGCACTCATTTGTGGCTAATATCCCAGCAATAAGCATCTTCCCAGAGTGTATTAACAGAGAGGTAGGTACCTGCCTTGCCCCTCCTATGATGTGCCAGTTTTAGCACCATGTACAGGTGCCCCTTATCAGATACTATAAGGAATACCACTGGCTTGCTTTTCCCAGGCAAATAAATGTCATTTCAGGCCTGAGAATTATAGTTCAGAAATGATGCACAAACCTAGTTTCCCATAGTACTACTGTAAAGCAAATACTATGACCTCTGAAAACCACCAAATGACAGCTCCTTTGACTGGCAGCCAGCTCTTAACTAGTAAAATGTGAGGCATAACTGCCCGGGTTAAAGTCATTTATCCTCCACGCAGCTGGGCTGTGACGGTAAAGACACCAGAATCCCAGCCTACAGGATGCAGACTCTTAGCAGCTATTCTATGTCTTACCACAGTTTTTGGTTTGTCAGTCCAGAGATTTCTGGAAATTAAGGAGCACACACTCAAATGAATGTCTCAAGAACCATATTCTCCTCACAGAGTTGCCATAGTCCATCCTTATGTTCTGACAACCTAGCGTCCAGCCTTGTACACACACCCCCACTGTAAAGGTGATAAGATCATAGGTTTAGAGCTTTGAAGAAAGCTTAGGAGACATCAAGCCCAATCTGTTTGTTATGGTTGAAATTTAACAAAAAAGATAAACTGAGGCACATTCCTCTGAGCAAGATAACGTTTGTTAATGGGGGGATCTGTCTGTCAATAAATAGATCAATGGCTTGCCTCCATTTATGCCAAAGTCTTCAAGCAAAAAGGACAGCTCCCCTTTTATATGTTTTGGGAGAACAGAACAAAGAACAATACAAGGTTGATGACATCATGGAATTGGGGACAACGTGATTGGTCATAGAGCTGAAGAGCAGGGAACAGCATGATTGGCTGGAAGTTTGGTAATGAGGACTAGCAATGACCCTCTCCTTCTCTCCTGAGAGTCCAGGTGCAAGATAACGGGCCAGACTTTTGAACAGCAAACCAGATGTCCTTGAGGGATAGCTTGGTGGTGTAAAGATATTAGACCCAACTCCCTTGTGTTCACATGTATTCCCCAAGGTCATCTAAATTCCTGGAGACAAGAATAGATCAGTGATTAGCAGGAGAGCTGGATTTTTAAACTTAACCCTTTACAGACCAGCTGAATTCTGAACCAAGTTCAGAGACAAAGAACCAAGACTTAAACAGTTACTGGACAGAAGCAACTAATTGTAAATAGGATCAATAAGAAAATTATACAGGATCAATTCAATCTTCTCACATTCTTGGTAGAGACAGGGAACTGTGACTTATCCAGTGTCTACAGAGACAAATAAGCAGAAGTAGAATTTGAATCCAGGCCCTCTGACTCCAAACCTGGTGCTTTTTCCCATTACATGGTAGTAAAGAAAGCCAGTTGTATTTATATACACTAAGTGTTTATGTGTTTGCGAGACAAGTTGTAGAGTCCAAAGGGAATGAGGGCATTAAAAAACAGCAATAATGTAGGCTGATAAAGTTGAGGTGTTTCTCATGTGTACTTAGCCCGATAAAAGGCATGTAGATGAAGCAGTATCATTGGAATAGCCACACTTGTGCTCAGGAGTGGAAAAAACATGTCCAAACTCCCTGAAATCCTTCTTTGTTTCTTTTTTTTCCCTTCAGATACAATGCTTGCATACATCAGTGCTTTGAAAGGAGGACAAAGAGTGCTGGGAACATGGTCAATGGCTTGGCCAATAATGCAGAAATTGATGACAACAGCAATTGTGATGCAACGGTAGTGCTCCTTAAGAAAGGTAACCGCGAAGGTACAAAACTCTAGGAGGGAAATGGTAGAAAATAACTCCTTCCGCCTATTTCCAAAGCTTCACAGAGGTCATGGGCAACTGCTCAAGGAAGTTGATCACGATTATTAGGATTAAAAATGCCAGGTATTCAACCAAACATTTTTTATGATCAAGCATCCCATATTGTGTACCCCATAATGGGCACCCAAAGGAGGAAATCTCCTGGGGCAGGTGATTAAAGAAGGGGAGGGTTCAGCTCTTCCTCTATTCCCAGTTCATCTTTAAATGCAAGAGAAGAACAGAGGTTCATATCTGGAGACTAACCAGCCTAAAAAACATTCGTGAAAGCTCTTAGACTAAATGTCAACAGTTCAACAGCTGGGGATTTACCGAGGTGAGGTGGTACAACAGTCCAAATATATTTTCAAGCTACACAGCCTCACTTTCCAGTATTTGAAATGGGCACAGAAAATTACCTTTTTTTTTTCAAAGAGACTCAACTAGAGCATTTAACTAATTCACTGAAATACTAAAGAGCAATGATTTAGTATGATAGTTCCATTCAGTTGAACAAAAAATATTTCTTTATATGGCAGCACATGCAATTTAACTCAAGCTGTGATGTTTTATTTTTCATTAACATAGCTGTTATTCTGACTTAATTAATTTCCTTTTCAAAGCTTCCCCTTGAATTGCTGAGGTTTTGCTTTTTTTTCCCCTCTGTTTCACACAAGCTTTTTTTGGATCAAAAAATTTTAAGACCTACAGATTATTTCTAATTTCTTCCTTGCCCTTCCACTGAAGTCTGAAGATGATTGTCCCATTTTGTAAATTAAAGAACTTGTAAAATGTTTCCTGGCAAATATGTTCATGTTTCATGAAAGACCAGATCTTTGGGACTTAGGTATTTGGTTCCATTCTGCACTGGGGCTTCATTCCAGTACTTATATTCTGGCCTGTTTATGCTCCAAAGAAGGAATACTCCAGAGAACCAGAGTAATTAGTTCAAGTTTATTCAATATATTTAAAAGATTATTTCAGAAATCTGTGGCTTAGAAAACAGGGGAAAACTCTAGGATAGCATGAGTATAGATATGGGATGCCAAAATATTTCATATTCATTGGCAAGTATAGGAGAAATAACTAGATTTTTAGTATTGGAAACTGTATCCTGCAGAGAATTCTGAAGTAACTAACACATCATTATAAACATTCCTGAAAATGAGGAATATATGTATGTATATATATATGGGGGGGATACACACACACACACACACACACACACACACACACATACACACACACGAAAAACTGAAGAGGCAAAGATGAGGAAGTCAAGGAAAACTATTTTTCTACTGAACACATCTGAATGAAACAAAAAGAGATCATTGAGTTTACTTTCTAATGGCTTAGCTAACATTTAAGTGAATGATGAATGTCACACTCAGATTCACATTCCAGATTTAGAGTTTAAAGGGACTTTGAAGATTATCTAGTCCAAGCCCATTTTGTTACCAATAAGAAAACTGAGCCCAATTTATATGAATTTCCTCTAAAACGACTACTGATTAACACCTTTCACTAGTCACAAAAAAGCTTTTGATTAGCGATTTGGACTCTTCTCTAAGAGGTGCTTGGGCTATACCTTGCTACTCCCCCATCTTGACTTGAGTGTTTCTTTTTCACACAGCAAATTTCCACCGCAAAGCTTCAGTGATCATGGTGGATGAGCTGCTATCAGCATATCCACATCAGCTCTCTTTTTCTGAGGCCGGGCTCCGGATCATGATTACCAGCCACTTTCCCCCCAAAACTCGGCTCTCCATGGCCAGCCGCATGTTGATTAATGAGGTAATACCCAATGTATCTGGAAATGGGGCAAAAAGGTGGAGGGAAGGAATGTTTTCAGAGAACCTGACTACAAAGTTTCTACTTATAAATTCAAAACATTAATGAACTGCGATTTCATGAGGGTGCAAAAGTGCTGGTGAGGGAATTCATTGCACTGATAGAGACAGTAAAGGATCATGGATACTAGATAAGTAGTAGATAGGACTTATTAAGAAAGTGCTAAGAAGTTGATTGAAATACTAAGAAGCAACCTGCCAAGTTCCTTCAGTATCAGAGGCAGGATTAGAACTCAAGTCCTATTGATGACAAGTTCAACTCTCTCCACTAGACCAGGCAGCATCATAATATAACCAGTAATTGCCCAACAGCCGTTTCCCAAAAGCTCAGTGCTAACTCAGCTAGAAGTGAGTTCTTTCACCAGCCTTTCCATCACATTTTGTGAGATAGGAATCTAACTGTGGTATAGACAAAATTTTAGATCACTCTCTCAACTCCCTTTTGAATGTGTGTGTGTGTGTGTGTGTGTGTGTGTGTGTGTTTCAGCTCTTGGCTCCCTACCTTCTCTCTTAGCTTCCTAACAGTTTTCAGCATCCATTTTAATAGTATACCATCGCGACAGCTTGCACTGTGAGAGCTGGGTGCTTTAAGGAGGCTGTTGATGAAATTAATACAAAAAATATTCCACGTCCCAATGACCCTACTACTACTTATACCTTTATATGGTCTGCACTTTGGATTTTGCAGTCATGCAAAAGGTTTGCTGAACTAGCTATTATTTTGAGTAATCACCAAACTCACTTAGTAGCTCATTTAAAGGTGACTCCAGGGTCTGCTGGAAAATCCTATGCCACTTCTTCATGACTGGGTTATACAAATCCTGACAACCTGCATTTGGGGTCTGCCCTTACTTAGCAAGAGTCTACACCACTTACAATCCTTTCAGGTACTCTGGCCAAGTAAAGAATGTGTGAACTTTTTCCCCTCCAGAGGCAAAGATTAATAAACAGCAGAGCATATGCAAATGGAGAGTCAGAGGTGGCCATAAAAATTCCCATCAAGCATGCTGTTGAGAATGGAACAGGACCCAGCAATGCCCCAGAGAGGGGTGCTAATGGGACCCGACGGGATGATGATGTCACTGAGGCTGGCAATGAAACTGAGAATGAGAACGAGGACAATGAGAACAATGAGAATGATGAAGAAGAAGAAGAGGATGATGATGATGATGAGGGACCTTACACTCCATTCGACCCACCCTGTAAGAGGTCCTAAGTCCTTGCTTGTGTTTCGGAATAATTTTAAGCCCTTAGGGCCCAAGAATGATTTTCATCATCTAATGAGTCAATACATATGTATTTTTGTTTGTTTGTTTGGTTCAGTCATTTTCAGTCATGTCTCTGACTCAGTCATTTGGGCTTTTCTTGGAAAAGATACTGGGGAGGTTTGCCATTTCCTTCTCCAGTTCATTTTACAGATGAGGAAACTGACGCAAACAGAGTTATGTGACTTGCCCAGGGTCACACAATTACTAAGTGTCTGAGGCTGGATCTGAACTCATGAAGATGAGTCTTCCTATTCCAAGCCCAGTGTTCTATACACTAGCTGCCTCAACACATGTATCTTGAACATAAAAATACATGTTGTTACGTACCTCTGTTCAATTCCATTCACTACTAAATACTGAATGAAGAATATGAATGTGAATTACTAACTCCAGATTGAATGAATATTCATCATTTAATGGAGTTTCAATATTAACATCCCTCTATCACTCTGCATCCTGATAGGCTCTCAGAAACTGCATTCTCTAGCTTCATGATAGGATTTTAACAAATAAATAACATATATTAAGCCTTGCTATGGTAAAGAAATGCTTACACACTCAAGTGTGAGTCATAGTCACTGGTCATTTGAAATGGTACCAAGGCTTGGCTACCAGTGTGTGGTTTGTCCTTCACTCTCAAAGAGGACCCTGTCATCGCAATTGAATTGGATTTGAGCGAGGGAGGGCTGTGCAAAGTCACCAGCCTCACTTTGGTGCCCCACATGCAGAGTATGTGCCCACCCACTGGCTTTGAACAAGATAGTAGTTACCAAATTAGAAGGCTGAAAGCTGCTGCTCCAGCAGCATACACACGAAAATCATTCCAGTGGGGAAGTTGTTGGGCCTTGAGCCAAGCAAGCAATGGTAAAGAGAAGAATAAACCTGAGCCTTAAATGCTCTGCCTCCAGCCTCCCTTCAGTTTCCCCACATAGCAGTTCCCTATAATAATTAAAGCATATGTCCAGCCCCCTTCCCCACTAAGGTATTTTAAATTATTTTTTTTCTTATGGCCAGGAGAGAAGGAAAAGGAAAATATATCAGTGAGTGGCATCCACCAGACAGCAAGATTTAATTTGTGGCATATCATCATTAGTAGCAATTGGGGCTCTTTGTCATGAAGTCTATAATTAGTTGGAGTTTTGGTTATACTTCCCCTATTCTTTTCTTAGTGTTTTCCAAAAGAGTTTGGTATTTATAGGATAATAATAATAGCATTTATATAGTAGTTTTAAGTTTAAAAAGTGTTTTACAGACATTACCTCATTTTGAGCTTTACAAACCACTCTTTATAATAAATATTATTATCTTCATTTTACAGATGAGGAAAGTGAGGCTAAGTCTCCTACTGGTGGAATTCCACCTAAGTGGGAAAGTTATTTTGGGGGAATGAGGACTTCTTCTTTTCCTTCAATTATACCACGAATGGGAATTTAGACAGTTTTAAGAGAGGTATAGCATCCATAACTCTAGAGGTGAGAGTTCCACTGTACTCTGCTTTGTCTAATGTGGGTTCAGCCTTTATTTTGTCATAGACTCTTTTGTCAGTCTAGTGAAGCCCAGGGGCCCCTTCTCAAAATAATGTTCTAAAGAAAATTTATTTGAAAGATTTGAAGGAAATGGTCATTTCAGTTAGAGTTTAGTTGTTGACTTTTTTACATCCAAGTTCACAGACCCTCTGAAATCCATCCATGGGCCTCTTGAGGGTCCATGGCATATTGTGTTCAGTTCTAGACATAACATTACAAGGAGTTCATTGGAAGGCTAACACAAGTAGATAAACGAAGAAACAATATGATTGGGGGCACCGGAGAATTCTGCCCTGCAAAGGCCAACTGAAGGAACAGAGATGTTTAATATGGAGAAGACTCAAGGGGACATGATAGCTGTCCTCATGTATTTAAAGGGCTGTCATGTGGAAGACAAAGGCAACATGAAATAGTGAATAAAGAGCTGGCTTCAGAGCCAGGAAGACCTGGGTTCATGTTGTGCCTACGGTACATATTGGCTGTGTGACCTTGGGCAAGTCTCTAGACAGTTCTCTAAAGACTCAACATTGCAGAGAAGGTATCAACCTGTATTGGTAGAGGGATTTTCCTCAACCAAGCATTTCCTCACTAACAAAATTACAAAGTCCAGCTCTTATCCCACGTGGAAAGGGGATTAGATTTCAGCATGATGTAGTAGAAAGGACATTGGATTTGAAGTCAGAAGGCCTGGCTTTGGGACATAGCTCTATTACACGCTAAGTTTGTGACCCTAAGCAAATCCTCCTGTGGGAATCAGTTTTCCTCATCTGCAAAATGAGACACTTGTATAAAATGACCTCTAAGGTTCCTTCTAACAATCTACCAATTTAAAGCCTAATTTTTTTTTTTGCTTAGCCCCAGAAGAAAAAAAAACTGAGAATAACAGGTAGAAATTGTAGAGGGATGTATTTAAACTTGATACATACTAATGATTAGAGCTAACAAAAAGCAGAATGGACTTCGGGGTTCTCCCTTCACTAGAGGATTTAAAGTTAAGATGGCATGACCACTTTTCAGGGATGTTGCAAAGGGGATGCCTGTTTAGGTATAGGTTGGAACACATGACTTCTGGGGTTTCTTTTAATTCCAAAATTCTGTGGTCCTATTAGTGCTTATTTTGCATTATTTAAAAAGCCAGTCCTGGGCCCATGGGAAAGTGGCATGGACCTTAATCCTTTCCCAGTAGAATCAGATCATAGTTGACAACATGTAGTACATAATCCAGAGCTCTCTAGGGACTGGATAGGAATTTGCTCCATGGTCAACTTCTAAACAAATTAAATAACATATGTAAGGTGCTTTAGAAATTTTTAATTGCTACATAAATGTTACTTCTCATTATTACCATTAAAATAATAATAACCAAGAGTAAGTAGGAAGTTCCATACTTATTAGTTTCCCTAAGAAAACCAGGGCCAAGACTATCAAATTTTTACTTTTGGCGATGTTTTAATGGTAGAAAAAAAATCAGCCATTTTTGCCACTCACTGAAACATTTTCCTTTTCTTCCTAGGCCATAAGAAAAAAAAAAACTAATTTTAAATATCTTAATGGGGAAGGGGGCTGGACATGTGCTTTAATTATTATAGGGAACTGCTATGTGAGGAAACTTCCTCTACCAATGTAGGTCAGCATCTTCTGCCACTCATAGTCTCATGTATTAGAGGTAGCTAGGTGGTGAAAATGGATAGAGTGTTAGGCCTGGAGTCAGAAAGACCAGAGTTCAAACTCAGCCTCAAACACTACTAGCTTTGTGACCTTGGGCAAGTCACTTAATCTCAACTTTCTCATCTGTAAAATGGGATAGCAATAATACATATCTCCCAGAGTTGTTGTGAGAATCAAATGAGAGAATATTTTTAAAGTGCTTAGCACAGGGTCTGGTACATAGTAGGTACTACATGAATACTAGCTATTATTATTGTTGTTGTTGTCTAGGTAGTGCAGTAGCTAGAGTGCTAGGCTTGCAGTCAAGAACACCTAAGTTCAAATCCAGCCTCAGACATTTACTAGCTGAGGAACTGTGGGCAAGTCACCTAACCTCTGCTTCAGTTTCCTCTGCAAAATGGGGATAACAATAGTACCAGCTTCCTAGAAGTGTTAAGATAAAATGAGATAATATTTATAAAGCACTTTACAAACCTGACCGCACTCTGTAAATCGTTGTAGTAGTAGGAGGAGGAGGAGGAGTAGAAGTAGTAGTAGTAGGAGTAGTAGTAGGAGGAGTAGTAGTAGTAGCAGTAGCAGTAGTGGTGGTGGTGGTGGTGGTAGTGGTAGTAGTAGTGGTGGTGGTAGTAGTGTAGTAGTAGTAGTAGTAGTGGTAGTGGTGGTAGTGGTAGTAGTAGTGGTGGTAGTAGTAGTGTAGTAGTAGTAGTAGTAATAATGGTAGTGGTGGTGGTAGTAGTGGTAGTAGTGGTAGTAGTAGTAGTAGTAGTTGTTGTTGTAGCCATAGTAGTCGTAATAGTTGTGGAAGAACTAAAAGGTTAAATGATTTGCCCAGAGTTACCAAGCCCATACATGCAGGGGCAGGCTGTCTAAACACTACGCTACCTTCTGTCTCTTTAGTTACCATAATCTGAAATATTTCTTCATTCCTCCAACTGAAATCATTTGTTAGAATTCCATTATGGGAGCCTGCAACTGAGCTTCGAGAAATGCTTGTTTTGCTGATGTCTTTCTTTGATTAAAAAATGGCCAGGTGAATCATGTAATTTTTCCATATGCTGGTGCATGTTACATTTCAGAAGCCCTTACTACACAGTATGCACATTCATTCCGATGGACAGATTTCAAAGATATGTCAGGGCCTAGGCCACTGCATTGTGCTTTTGCACTGAGCCCCAGTCTCCATCATCCAGTCTGCTACTCTTGACTCATATTACTTCTGCTTCCTTGCACAAATGAATTCTACTCAACATGATAGAGTAGATCATGCTGGGAAGAGACTGCAAAAGACCTTCAATTCTGTCTCCCTAATTTTAGGTGATGTTCTGTCTTGAAGATTTAGTCATAGTGGCCCCATTCCATTTTGGAAACCTGAAATCACTATATGACTCTGAACTATTGATATTTTTGATAACAAAGACCCTTGGCACTGTTCACAAGTTCTCATCAACCCTAAATCAGCAAAGATGGACAGCTAGTGGGGAATTCCATCCCTCCAGCTTATTAAAAGACCCCATTCATATCTTTGGGGCCCTTGCATCCTTCCTGAACAAGAGGAACAGGAAAAGAGTGAAAGATGCATGCATTGGATTTAAAGACTAAAAGCACATTCGAATTAGAATTCTGCCAGCTTCTAGCTGTGTGACCTTGGGCAAGTAATTTAACCTCCTCATCCCTGACTTTCCTCATCTGCAAAAAGAAGGAGTTGAACTAGATGACTGCTAAGGGCCATTCCAGGGCTAA